CAAAGCACAGGGAGCACGGTTCAATCCCCTAGCACCACATGCCAGCCAGCCCCGCCCCCTGGTGGGCTGAGCTGGCCACACACACACACACACACAAATAAATAAATAAAATTAAAAAAAAAAAATTCTGGGTCCAAGAATGTAGCTCAGCGGTAGAAAATGTGCCTACTGTAGGCCAGGACCTCAGTTTATCCCTCAGCACCACAAAATGAAAGAAAGAAAGCCAAGTGTGCTGGCACCTGGTTGTAATGCCAGCACAGGGGAGGCTGAAGCAGGCGGGTTGCTGCAAGTTTGAGGACAGCCTGGGTGACAAAGGGAGAGCCTGTCTCAAAAAGAAACAAATGGAGGGGGAGCACAGATGAAATGAAGAAAGGAGATCTCTCTGGAAGCAGCGTCTGGAGGGCAGAAGCAGTCCGAAGCAGAGGCAGAGCCTTCTGAGGGGAAAGACACACTGCAGATCCGGCCGCTGGAGTCTGTGCAGCTCACCAGCAGGGAGCGAGGCGAAGGCCCCGACACAAACCTGGCCTCCCTGACGCCATTCCCCTCCCCAGGCCCCTGTGGGTGGCACTGCTGAGCGGCTTCATCCTGGGCCTGCTGCTCGTGTCTGTACGCAGCCTCTCCCGCGGCGAGATCTCCCATGACCCGCTCTATGCCGGTGAGCCCCTGGAAGGTGTTAGAGAAGTGGGCTGTCCGGGAAAGGGCCCCCACCCTAACTCCTGGGGCCAAGGCAGGGCTCCTCCATCAGGGCGGGCACCTCGGAGGGCTCATATTACACGGGGGATACGGCTGGTGCTCCTCCATTAGATTGGGAGCCTCAAACAGCTCTTCCTTGTAGACGCCGAGCTCCTCAGAGCAGGGGCTGTGTCTCCTCCATCACACAGGTACGCGGAGGCAGCAGTGCAGTCCTGCTGTCTGTGCAGTGGGGACAGGGACTGCTCTAGGACTCTTTTGCCTGGCCTTCAAGCCCCACCCCTTCACACCTCCCCCCAGCTGAGCACGCCCACACCTTGACTGGGGGTCCTTGGCCCCGCCCACACTTGGCTCAGTCCGGCTCAGGTCTTCCTCGACCACTCTCCCCGCAGTCTTCACGGTCTTCGCCTTCACCTCAGTAGTGGACCTCATTATCGCCCTGCAGGAGGACGGCTACGTGGAAGGCTTCATGGAGTTCTACACGAGGGAGGTAAGTGGCAGGTGGTGGGGTGACCCTGTCACCTTGTGTGTCTGAGCCTCGCCCCTACCCCCAGGGCGAGCCGTACCTGCGCACAGCACACGGGATCTTCATCTGCTACTGGGATGGCACTGTGCACTACCTGCTCTACCTGGCTATGGCCGGTGCCATCCGTCAGAGGTAATGGCAGAGTGGCTCCTGGGCCCCAGATGGACCCTCACAGTGGGTGGAGCAGGAAGCCCCTCAGGACTGCAGCCCAGGGTGGCCGGAGACGGTCTAGTGCATGTCCTCAAAGGGAGGATGGTGGTCACGCGGCTAGTACTCATGCGGGCCCTGAGAAGCCACTGTCACCCCTATTGTCCTTTCCTCCCTGGACAAAACTGAGAGGGGCCTGAAGCTGGTGGCTAGGGTGGTATCTGCTGCGCTGAGGCTCTGACACTGGAGGACAGGTACTCATAGTCACCTCTGCGTTCCTGGCCCAGGAAGCAGTATCGGAACCTCGGGCTGTACTGGCTGGGCTCCTTCGCCATGAGCACCCTGGTGTTTCTCCCGGGAAACATCCTTGGTAAGGATACAGCTGCGGGGAGCCCTGTCCCTGCACCAGAAGCCCCACACTGAATCCTCCCTCTCCTCCTCAGTGCCTTCTTTCCCTTCTGTTTCTTTGTCTGTCCATAGCCAGCCTCAGCCATCGGCCTCCTGTTTCCTCTTGGGGGTGGGGGCTTCCACTTCTTCCCTTGGATTTTTCCTGCAACACGGACACTGGAAGGCTGTTTTAGAGTAGGCAGAGGGGAAGCTGTGTAGGTGAGAAGGGTCTTGGGAGGTAGGGCAGAGATGACAGTCCAGACTTTGGAACAGCACGGACCGACTCACCAAAGAACGCACCCAAGTATACTCATGGGAAGTGAAAAACCATGAAGGGTAGAATCTGCTCTCAGAAGGCAAAATGAAGAGCATGGGCATCATTTGTGGGCACTGGGGATCCACAGAAGGTGACACAGCAGGAGCAAGGATGGCATGTGTGCATCAACATGTCTCTCCTCCACTGTGGCAGGCAAATACAGCTCCGAGATCAGGCCCACCTTCTTCTTGGCCATCCCCTATATGCTGGTCCCATGCTGGGCCAGCCTTCGCATCTTCAGCCAGCCCCGGGCACGATCCTACAGTCCCTCCAATGTGGTGAGTGCCGCATCCCTCAGGCCAGCCAGGGCTCAGCCTGCCTCACTGGCTTCCACATGAGCTGCGTTGGAAGTGTCTTCAGGGAGGGGGAGCCTTTACCAACTACCTGCGGCTACCAGATCGCTCATGCAATGCTGATTCTCCTGGGGAGCAGGTGCAGGAGGAGCAGAGAAAGGGGATCCTGCAGCGTCCTCTTGATCTGGCTCTCCTTCTCTACCTCATCCTGGCTGCATTCTTCACCCTCTTCCGGGGCCTGGTGAGTATTCTCAATGGCTACCCCTGGCTTGGCTCAGAGCCTCCTTCCTGGCCCTTTGTTGGTAGAAAAAGACCAAGGGAAGTGCATCATCAAGTCTGACCTGAGTATCCCATAACAAAGCCCTGTTCCCTGTAGCTGTCTCTTTCCTCTCTGCAAATTCTTGGGTGAACAAGGATAGACTCCTTGTATAAACACAGTTAGGGTCCCCGGGTGGAGATAGGTAGGGTACCTGGATGGAGATAGCTAGGATCCCTGGATATATCAGCTAGGGTCCCCGGGTGGAGACAGCTATGACTAGGATACCCAGACCAAGGGATCCAGACCATGTTGGGAAGTGAGGTGAGACAGCTTTCTGGAAGAGGGGTGTTCGAGGTAGAAATTTGGTTCATCTGTCTGTCCCAGGTAGTACTTGACTGCCCCACAGACACCTGCTTTGTGTACATCTACCAGTATGAGCCATACTTGCGGGACCCTGTGGCCTACCCAAAGGTGCAGGTGAGAGCAGGTGGGAGAAGACCATCATGGTTCTGCCTGGGTCTTTTTGAAGCAGATGCTCAGAGAACAAGTCAAGTTGGCAGAAGCACGTGCAGAATATATTGTCTTACCAAAAAAGTAACAAATATGGTCTTCAGATGTGGCTGGGTGCAGGTGCTTGAGGATAATTCTGTCTCTAGACCTTTATTGTCTTTGCCTGGCTCACTTTAGGGGGCGGCAGAGGTGGCTCCAGCTTTCCATATACCCCACTCCACCACCTCAGAGGAAATGAGCTCTTATTGATACCCAAGAACTTAAGCACATATCTGAGACAGCTGTGATTGGCCTAGCCCACTTGCTTGTTCTTTTTTCTTTTCTTTCTTTTTTTTTTTTTTTTTTTTTTTTTGTCTTTTTGAGACAGGGTCCCACTATGTAATTCAGGCTGGCCTGGTAGTACAGGCTGGTCTTGAACTCGCAGCAATCCTCCCACCTCAGCCTCCAGGATGCTGGGATTACAGGCATGTGTTACCACGTCTGGTGCCTGTTCTTTATCATTATGGTCATGGCATTGGAGCATTTGCGTTAGCCAGGCCGTGGTCACATGGGTAGGCAGAGGACTTGAAGGGGAATGGAGGTGCTTGGCATGGGTGGGATGGGAAGAGGGCCTCAGGATGGGCAAGGGCCAGGAGCCCCGGCTCCTCTCACAGGCTGTGGTCCAAATCATCAGATGCTGATGCAGCTGTTCTACGTCCTGCCTTTCTATGGCCTGGCTACCTATGCCCTCTTGTTCCCGGGATGCTCCTGGCTGCCCGACTGGACCCTGGTGTTTGCCGGAGCCATTGGCCAGGTGAGGGGACAGGCGGTGTGTGGGCAGGTATTGTGCCCATCCGGGGAAGCCACAGGTCCAGTGCCCTCAGAATTCCCCAGGTTTAGGGGAGACAGAGCCGGATATGGTCACCCCCAGCTCCCTGGAGTCAGCTAGAGGGGAAGAGGTGCAGGGCAGAGGGGATTATGAGGGGAAGGTACAGCAGGGACACAGGCGCTGGGCTGGATGTGCAGTGCCCCCCCCATGCAATTCTAGTTCAGAGTTCTTGGCTTCAGTCATTCGCTGATGTTTTCCTTGTGAAAATAATAACATAAAATATTATTAGTTAGGTTCCTTGAAATAATAATAATAATTATTATTGGTTAGGTTCCTTTTCCAACCTAACTAATAATTGTAGAAACCCTGCAATTTCACAGAAACTGCAGATTCCTCCGTAATTGTTTTGGAGGGAAGTTTGGAAGTAGCCAGTCCAAGAGTGTTATTCAGTTCCCTTTGCTGCTGACTGGCTGCTGCCCTGCAACCCATCCAGGCAGATGCGCCTGTAGCCTCACACCGTAACAGGTTGCTGTACCATGTGTAGCTATCTCCAGTGTTCTCTGTCTTATTCTTCCTAAAGCCCTGAGATCCCCAAGATCATGCCAAAATGCCCCACAGCTTCCAAGGCCTTAGTATTTTTATTTTTTAGTTGTACATATTTGGTATAAGTACCACACACTAACTGATTGCACCATGGCGCTCCATTTTTGTTGTATGTATTTGGTACACGGTCTCACTATGAAGTTTGGACTCGTAGTGATCCTCCTGTTTCCAGCCTCCCCAGTGCTGGGATTAAGTTGTCACCCCCACACTCGGTCTCAGTGGCCAGCTTAATGCGCCCAGGGACAGGGCAGGCTCAGCATGTGGTGCTGGGGATCGAGCTTCAGTCTTTGTGCTTGCCTAAGCAGGTGCTTAGTCCACTGAGCTATCCCGCCAGCCCTAAGGCTTTATTTTCTTTCTTTCTTTCTTTCTTTCTTTCTTTCTTTCTTTCTTTCTTTCTTTCTTTCTTTCTTTCTTTGGCTTTATTTTCTTAAATTAAATTACATACTTAGGGTCTAAGCCATAAAAATCAGCATTTGTGGGCATTTTTTGACCATATGTGAAATTTGCAATTTTTCACAATTTTTGGATGCTCTCAGAAAGATATCCCCTGCGAATCTCAGGAGTCTCGGCAAAGGAGTTCTCTAGGCTGGAAAGGGCATTCCAGGAGTGGGGACAGCATAGGAGAGGCATAGAGGAGGATGGGACTGGCGAGACTGTAACCTAGGTCAAGGCAGGGTCAGGAGAGATGGGCGGCTTGATGCTGAGGCCTTTGAACTTGGGACTTGTGTTGGTGACGGGAGGTGTGGGAGGTACTGGGGCAGTCGAGGACCCAGTCAGAGCTGGGTTCCCGATGTGCACATAAGCCTGGATCGGGCCAAGACCAGGGAAGAGTTTTATGGGAGAAAATGGACAGGATTCCTGTTCCAGAGATGCTAGGAGGAGGACCTGGACTAAGTCAGAGGAAGGGCATTAGGTCCCCAAGGAGAGGGGGCAGGTGAGTCACCCAGCCAGCAACCCAGGCGGGGCATTGGCCCTCCCTGCCGCGACCACCGTCCTCCCTGTCTGCGCAGGCGCAATTCTCGCACATGGGCGCGTCCTCGCACCTGCGCACGCCCTTCACCTACCGCGTGCCGGATGATGCGTGGACCTACGTCTTCCTCTCCAACCTGCTCTACGCCATCGGCCCGCACCTGCTGGCCGCCCGCTGCTGGCTGTGGCCTGCCTTCTTCCTGCAACTGCCACCTGCTCCCTCCGCTCCCAAGAAGCACCAGTGAGGGCTGCACCCAGGATCCCGTTTGCAGGCAGGCGCAGCCGGCTCTGTGCCCGAAGCAGGCTGGCACTTTTAGTGGCAGGACTAATGTCTCCAGGGGTCTTCTGCTTGTGGCGGCTTAAGCCCAGTGGGTAGAAGGGACACCTACAGACAGGGGTCCTTGGAAAGACAGCCTCATTGAAGTTGGGTTTGGGAGCACACACCTGTCATCCCAGCACTCAGGAGGCTGAGGCATGAGGATTTTGATGAGTTCAAAACCAGCCTGAACAAGACCTTATCTAAAAAAAAGTGTGTGTGTGTGTGTGTGTGTGTGTGTGTGTGTGTGTGTGTGGCTTGGTCAGCTGTCACCACACCCCAAAGACCACAGAAATTCTTGAGCCTGGGCCCGAAGCTTATGTATCATCCCTCTAAAGGGCCCCCCTTTTTTCTTTTTGCCTGTATTTAGTACAGGGTCTACAGGGTTTCAGGGTCTCACTATGTAGATCCCACTCGTAGTGGTCCTCCTGTTCTCAGCCTCCCAAGTGCTGGGATTACAGCGCACACTACCACGTACAGTCTCAGTTGCCCTCTCGGCATGCCCTAGGGACGGGGCCGGCACAGCACACTGGGGCCGGACCCTGCACTCTGCCTAACCTATCAGGCCAGCCCCCTCAAGGGTTCTTTTAATAAAAAAATTCTTTTTTTTTTTTTTTTTTTTTTTTTTCGGAACCGGGGATTGAACTCCGGCCCTTGCGCTTGTCAGGGAAGCACTTATTCCACTGGGCCATCTAATAAAAGATTCTTGATGACTAAAATGTCACTTCCTGAGTATTTATGGTGCCAGGGTAAGGGACCCTCTTCTTGAGCCACACAGGGTCATGGTGGCCATTGGAAAGCTAAGTGCCAAGTGGCAGAAGTTGGCTTTTGGCTGGTATGGACAGCTCCTTCCAGATGGAGAAAAACTGAGGCTCAGAGGGACAAAAGACCTGCCTGAGGTCACAAAGAGGAGGGAGAGGCCACTGCTCTGCTGGAAATGGTAGCACATGCCTGTAACCCCAGCTAGGAGGCAAGCTGAGGCAGGAGAATTGCAAGTTTGATGCCAGCCTGGCCAATATTAGCAAAACACTCTCAAAATCCAACTCAGTGCAACTCTGGTGAGTACTGACCTAGCTGGAGTGAGGCCCATCCCTAAAGCTGGGGGAGGCATCACACCTGTAACTCCCTAGCACTCCGGGTGGCTGAGGCGGAGGGTCACAATTTCCAGCTCACCCTGGGCAACAAGAATTTAATCTCAAAAAACAGAAAAAGGGCTGGAGACATGGCTCAGTATGAAGGCTCCGAGTTCAAGCACCAGTACTGTGGGATAAACGAAAGAGCCACTACTCTGCCAATATACTACAGTGTAATTAATAATGTGGCACAGTTACTCAGCATCAACTGTGTACCACACTGAGTGCTAACCTCTAGTCCTACAGACAGGATCTCAGCCCATGCTCCAGACGGGGAAACTGAGGTTGCAAGGTCCTGGTCCAAGGTCACTCCTGGTTACGGCCTACCTAGGGACCAAGAACCATACTCGCTTCTGCTGGGTGCATGTGCCCATTTCAGGGACAGCCTGGGAAGACAGCCCATGCAGGCGCTGGGAGCAGTGCCTCCGCTTTTCTGGGCTGTGATTTTAGAGTCCTTTTTCCTTCCTTCAGTGCTGAAGATTGAACTCAGGGTCTTACACATCCTAGGCAGATGCTGTACCACGGGGTTGGTTTGACCTGTGAAACTGGATAAAGTGGTGGGGGGCTGGCTCCCCCACTCCTTGCCCCCTACCAGTGCTAGCTATTTAACCCTAATTCATATCTGTTTGGGGCTAGCAATGCTGTCTCCCAGAGAGACCCGCATACCCTCCCTTCCACATTCCACAGCCAGAGAGAAGTGGAGTCCTTAGACCCTTAAACCACACAACGATTATTGGGGGCCCTGACCCCTCCAGGGGCTGCTGGGCCCCAGGCTGGTCACCCAGTGGGCAGGCGATTAACTGAGTCTTGCAGGTCAAGCCCCTTAAACAAGTCGCTGAGCCCTCCTTGCCCAGACAGGGTATGCAGGATGGAAGACCCCAGGCCCCGCAGAGGCTTCTGTTTCATTTTATAGACGGCCAAACTGAGGCCTGAAAAGTTTCCTCCACTGGCCCACGGTCGGCCAGCAACGGCAGGGACGCGGCTGTGCATGTAAAGCCCTCTTCCTTCCCGCGCCAATGCCTGAGGCCACCTTTCCGCGGAGCGCAAGCCGCTGCGTTCCCTTTAACGCCCCCCCTCCTGCTCCCTCCTCCCCTTGCAGGCAGACGCCGGGATTGCGCCGCCGCCCGCAGGGAGCTGCCCAGTCCTCCGGGCGCGGCGGGGAGCGCGGTCGGGACACGGGGCCGCTGCGGGCGCGGGCAGGATGGTGAGCGCGGGAGGGCCTGGCGCCCAGTCTGGGCTTCGGTGTCTCTGCTCGGTCCCGCGTCTGTCCCTGGCTCACTCTTGGAGCTCTTTCTCTGGCACGCTGCCCCTCTCTGCCTCTCCTAATTTTCTCTCCATCTTTTCTTGGGGGGGCTTCTGGATTTCCCTGTCTCCCGGTTCCCTTCTGTCCCACTCGCTCTCGCACTGCCTTCTATCTCTGCGTCTCTGTCCCGGCCCTCTCCGTCTTTCTGTCCCCGTTCTCCCCACTCCGGCCCATTTGCTGCAGTCTCCTGGCGCACGGATAACCTTGCTGCCGTGCGCCCCAGCTCTGCTCCCCACCCCCTCCAAGCCGAGCCGGAGCGCGGAGAAGGCGGAGCTCGGAGCCACCGAGCTAGGGACCTGAGCAAGTGGGACGGCGCAGGTGTTAGAGATGCCAGCCCTGGGGCGCACAGAGTGCAGGACTGAGAGGACGCGAGGTCCCGGGAAGGTGCGGGGATGGAGTCCTCGGGGACCTGGGCAAGGTGGCACTTGGCACGGGAAGGATGCCCACCCCGCCGCGGGTTAGACAGGCCAGGGAGCCGGTCCTCTGCACCGAGGGGCGGTTGCCGGCGGACTGAGCGCCGTGCGCCCGCAGGTGCGCGCTCGGGCGGCCCTCGGAGCCGGCGCGCTCTGGGCCGCGGCCTGGGGCCTCCTGCTGTTCTCGGCGCCCTCGGGGGCGCAGCGCGGCCGCAAGAAGGTGGTACATGTGCTTGGTGAGTTTTGGTGGCGCAAAGTGGCCACTGCGCGGCGGAGAGGGGTAGGGGGGAGGGCATAGCTGATGGTCAAGGTCCCCCAGCCCTCTGCATCGGACCCTGCCTGAGCTTCCTTCCCACATCCCCTCTCTGGCTCCCTCGCTCACCCCAGGCGACCTCTGAACCCCGTTTGGTCGCCCGCAGAGGGGGAGTCAGGCTCCGTGGTGGTGCAGACCGCGCCCGGGCAGGTGGTCAGCCACCGAGGTGGCACCATCGTCTTGCCCTGTCGCTACCACTACGAAGCGGCCGCCCACGGCCACGACGGCGTCCGCCTCAAGTGGACGAAAGTGGTAGACCCGCTGGCCTTCACCGACGTCTTCGTGGCACTGGGGCCCCAGCACCGGGCATTTGGCAGCTACCGCGGGCGGGCTGAGCTGCAGGACGATGGACCCGGGGACGCCTCACTGGTTCTGCGAAACGTCACTCTGCAGGACTACGGACGCTATGAGTGTGAGGTTACCAATGAGCTGGAAGATGACGCTGGCATGGTCAAGCTGGACCTGGAAGGTGACCAGCCCCTGGGCATGATGGGGCTTGCTTCTAAGGGGGGGAGGGCTGCCAGGGGCAGAAACCAAAATAGATTGGCTTAAAGAAATTTAGAGATTTCTTTTCTTTTCTTTTCTTTTTTTTTTTTTTTTTTGGTGGAACCGGGGATTGAACTCAGGCCCTTGTGCTTGCCAGGCAAGAGCTTGTTCTACTGAGCTATCTCCCCGGCCCCTAGAGATTTCTTTAAACATGTAATCCCAGAGTTGGGAGGCCGAGGCAGGAGGACTTCTGTGTCTTTGAGGCCAGCCTGGACTACACAGTGAGACCTGTCTCAAAAAAGGCAAACAACAATGAGAGATTTTGTGGAACAGGGCAAGGGTTATGACAGGGGTAATATTGCCCCCATAGACTGTAGCACTGTCTGGAGACTTGTGGGCTCTCTGTTTGGAGGCGGCATGCTGGCATGTAGTGGGGAGATGCTGCTCAACATTTTACAAGGACCGAGGCTGTACTCTCAGAGAGGGTGACCCATCCAAAGTGCTGTAAAAGGAAAGACATTGAGAAGTCCTGGGCAGGGGCCTTGGGTACGGTGAGATCCAGGCATTTGTACTACGTCAGAAACGCATCTTTCATCTCTGTTTCCTGGATGGCTTTTCCCAGGCAGGCTTCCCCTTCAGGAACCCAAAAGAACCCCAGTCACAACTCCAGACGGCCACCCTCTCTGGTCAGCAATTAATGGTGTAGGATCCGCAACTAAAGTCCCAGAGTTGTCTCTCATTGGGCTGGTTTGAGTCACGTGCACATCCGTGAACCAATCACTGTGGCTAGAAGCTTGGCTACTGCGATTGGCTGACCTGGAGCTTGGAGGCGTGGTTTCTTGCTGAAGAATTCCCTCCCACCTGGTTTGTCTTTCAGTCCAGGAGATGGCAGGAGAGGTTCAAAGTCCACCACTTGAACTTCCCAACAAGAAATAGTTGCAGTGATAGCAGGAGACTTATTTTTAGGCGTTTTCTGTGCCAGCCACTTAAAGTGAAGAGCTCTCTGGAGTCGCTCATTTAATTTTCCAAGAACACCACGGGAGACAGCTATTACCAGCCTGTGGCGAGCACAGGGAGTGCCAGCATTGCCCGGGGCGTCTGCTAATGATGGGCCCAGAGCTCAGCTCCTGGCTGTCAGGGCGGGTTTTCTTCCTGGGCCTCTGCTGCCTTCTGAGTGTGCTGAGCTATTGCGCTGGTCCCATGCTTTGCCCTGAAGACCATGAGGAACAAGTTCAGAGTCATACAACTGAAGTATTATGGAAACCCACGGGTACTTTTCTCTGACAATACTGTCAGGTCAAAGGGAACTTCACCTTGGGATGCAACATTCTAGGGCTTCCAGTCTGGGAAAGTCCTCCTGCACTGGACACAGACATTGCCAGTCTTCTCGGGCTGGTGGAATGTCAGAAACATGCAGGACTAGAGGAAGGTTTGGGATTTGGGCTTTGAAGCATGAATAGGAGTTTGAGAGGTAGAAAGTGTATACAGAACCCAAGCAAAGGCTTTCAGCACAAAAGAGGGATAGTCACGATTAAGTACCTCAAGGGATGGTTCAGTGAATCCCTGGCTCACCCCATGCAACCCCTCCAGGTGTGGTCTTCCCCTACCACCCACGAGGAGGCCGCTACAAACTGACTTTCCTGGAAGCGCAGCGCGCATGCGCGGAGCAGGACGGCATTCTGGCTTCTGCAGAGCAGCTGCATGCGGCCTGGCGCGATGGCTTAGACTGGTGCAACGCGGGCTGGCTGCGCGACGGCTCGGTGCAATACCCAGTGAGCCGACCACGGGAGCCCTGCGGCGGCCTGGGCGGGCCCGGAGGCGCGGGTCCTGAAGGCGGTGGCGCGCACGGAGGCGTGCGCAACTACGGCTACCGCCACAATGCCGGGGAGCGCTACGACGCCTTCTGCTTCACTTCCAACCTGCCTGGTGCGTAGGCCCCACCCCACCTGGCGCACGACCCCACTCAGATGCCCCGATTGCCACCACCTGACGATCCTGGGCCCAACAGGGTCCTGGTCAAGCTCCGGCTATCCCAGGCTGCGTGGGTGGGCCGCTCCCAGATCCCAACACTCCTGGGTTGACAGGCTGGGGTCCTGAGCCCCAAGGGCAGGGATCGGCCCTAACGAGGTCCCCCCCCCCGCAGGGCGCGTGTTCTTCTTGAAGCCTCTGAGGCCGGTGCCCTTTGCGGGGGCGGCGCGCGCGTGCGCGGCTCGCGGCGCGGCCGTGGCCAAGGTGGGCCAGCTGTTCGCCGCCTGGAAGCTGCAGCTGCTGGACCGCTGCACGGCGGGCTGGCTGGCGGACGGCAGCGCGCGCTACCCCATCGTGAACCCACGTGCGCGCTGCGGAGGTCTCCGGCCCGGCGTGCGCAGCCTCGGCTTCCCCGACGCGTCGCGGCGCCTCTTCGGTGTCTACTGCTACCGTGCACCCGGCGCGCCCGACCCCGCGCCCGGAGGCTGGGGCTGGGGCTGGGCGGGCGGCGGAGGCTGGGCTGGGGGCGCGCGCGACCCGGGGGCCTGGACCCCGCTGCGAGTCTAGGAGCCCAGGAGGTGGGGCGACCCTGAAGACTGGACACGCCCCCGAGGCGCGCTGGACACGCCCCTTGCGGTGCCCTGAGGCAGGCCAGACCCTTGGCGCTCTTGGACGCTGGACACGCCCCTGAGGGCTTCCGGAGACTGGCCACAGTCCCGTGGGCTCTTAGGAAGTAACTGCACCCACGGGTCCATTGGCCCTCTCTGCATACCGGGTCAGCCCATCTCTTCTGGACAGTGGATTCACCCTCTCCCTGATTTCTCCAGAAGGGCCACCTCCCTGAGGGGCGCAGGAGGCCTGTGCTCCCCAGCTTCCTGAAAGCAGACCATGCCTCTGTGGCCTGCTGGAAACAGACTGACTGCTACCTCAGTCGCCTGGAGGCTGGACCCCCGAGATTATCTGGCGACTGGCCACACACCTTCTGCATTTCTCTGGACATGAAACCTGACCGTTTGGTCAGCTGCACACCTAGTCCCCTCACATTACCTGAAGAGAAAAGGGAAACCTCAGAGTTTCCAGATGACGCCCTCCCCCCCCCCACCGTCCCCGGCCCACGGCCTGCAAATGGGGTTCTCTCCTGAGCCCTGAGTCGCCTGAAATTTCCAGGGTAACATGCGCATCCCTGGGCCCTGTGAGGACAGTCCCACCCATCAGTATCATGGAAGAACACCCTTGTCACCCAACACGCCCCCCCGGTGGCTGGTGACAGTGGCGGCTAAGCCTCACCCACCCCTTGGGATTTCTCTAGAGGGGGAGCCGATCCACCCAACCACTCCAAGGCCATTTACAGGGCTGTCGCCAGAGTGCGTTCGCTTGGTCCCAGGGACCCATGAGATTTTTGTCATGGAGACCAACGGAACCAAACTTTCACCGGCCGTCCAAAGTGACAGCCCTCGTCAGTCACACGGAGGGAGCAGGCACCTCCCTCCTCCTGATGTAACTACGGATACCACAAATTTCCCACCTCACCAGCTTTCACTCCAGAGGCTGCCACTCTACTCGGGCTACCCACTACCATGGAAACCCCGCTCCTCGGAACTGTCCCCAGGGCGACCCAACATTTGGTTCTGCAGCTGTCACCATGGAAACAGGCTGCTACCCCCTTCCCCTGGCGCACCCCCAGCTCCAGGCTCCGCCCTCCGGCTGCTGGGAGGCCCCACTGTTGCCGTGGCAACCAAACTCTGGTGTCCGAGGTGACAGAATACCTGTCCCTATAGGCTTTCTCTACACACCAAGCTGTCGCCATAACGACATCTACGTGGTCCCCATGACTACCGATCTCCCAGTTCTCAGGAACTTCTTACCAGGAGCCGGATGGCCGCCCCTTTGCCAGATGGGCCCAGGCTCAGACAGTACCCTAGTCAAGGCAGGATTTCCCGGCCGCGGGCCACCCTCCGTTTGCACGCTCATTATACGCCAGGCAGCTGCTCTGCACGCGTCACCCAGGCACTTTGATTTCCGCCTACGGGCGGGGACCCCTAGGAACTTTGCGGGCTCTGAGGCCCCGCCCACCCACGAGGCCCCGCCCACCCCCGGCCCTTCCCACTGCTCGGTCCCCAGGAAGGGGGCGGTCTGCGCCGGGCGTTCTGCGCGGTGCGGTCAGGGGTCAGGAGCCAGGCCGACCTTCCGGCCGAGAGCTCGCTCCGGGACCCTCGTGGCCGGAGACCCCAGCTCTGAGGTCCTGCCCGGAGCGCTCCTCACTGTGGTTGGTTTGCGTCTCCAGGAAACGCGCAGCCAAGCTTAAGCGTCAGGGGGGCGTGGGTTGAGATCCGGCCTCGAGTTCTTGATCACTGTGTGACCAAGCAACAAATCTGCTCTGTGCCCGTTTCCTTCAGTGTCCAGGTTTGTTCAGAGGTACCCTCGAGTGCAGTGCATACAGCAGGAGTTCAATAAATCTTTGATTCTTTTAATGAATGAAGAGAAAAAAAGTTTGATGAACAAAATGGCTGGGGGAGTGTTTTTGAGTGCGTCGGGAAACCTCTCTCCGCATCCCTATCTCCACACGCCAACCCCTCTCACCTTTCCCCTCATCCCATGTATCCCTGGCTGGCCTCAGACTTGCAGTCCTCCTGCCTCAGCCTTGTAGTTTCGGGAGGAGTGGTCTGCCAAGCCTGGCTTAGCTCTGTCCTGATTGGGTCCTTGAGAATACTCGGGACATGACACGTTAGGGCGCCCTGCCCTACGAAGGCAGTAAGATCGCAGGTTTTCCCTAGCACGGGAGAAGGGGGTTGGGATGGTGCAGAAGGGCACTGGAAGTTTCTAGGTTGAAAATGCACCCCGAAGAGAGGAAAGGGTACAGCCCTGATTTGGCTGTAAAAACTGAAGTGATCTGCACATCCTTCTGTGCTTTCAGAAACCCGGACCGGTGATCCGCGGGCAGGCGGCTTCACCAGGGCTTTCACTTGGGTATCGAGCCAGAGGGAGAAGCACCCTTCCCGGACTGGACGAAGGTCCTTCTTTCCGGGTCCCAGCTTTCTCATTAGCCCTGGAGGCGGACCACCCTCTTTGGACTCAACCAATGAGTGCTTGGAGCTCATTCCCTGGGAGATCCTGATTGGCCGAGGTGTGAACATGAAGGCATGCAAACCAATGAGATGCAGTCCCTGGGATTTTTGGCTGTGGATCAGGCGAGGCAGGCACGTGGCGTGATTGCTGAGAGGTGGATTCCTACATGGACTCCTTCTGAGGCCCGGGGGTCCAGGAAAACATTCTCTCCTGCCTTCGGGCACCCAAGCCCACCTCAGAGAGGCCCAGGGGCCCGGATGCCCTGGTGCCAGATTGCATAGATGTTTGTGTCCTCTTAGGAAACAGCGTGGTGCTCCAATCAGTCTGCACACACACACACCCTTGTCCATTAAATCATCTCAAGGTTACATTTTCGTTTTTAAAAATTTTTATGTTATTTTAATTTTTAAAAATACAGACAAGCGCACTGCATTTTGGCATATTACATGCATGGAACACATTGTCCATCTCCACTCTTCACTTCCTGATCCTCTCCATTTTCGGTCTCCTTTCCCTCCTTCCTTTTTTTTTTTTTTTTTTGGAGGGGAGAATCAGAAATCTAACTCAGAACCTTGTGCTTGCCAAGCAGGCACGGTGCTGCTGAGCTATATCCCAGGCGCGCTCTCTCTTGAGCTCACTCTGTAGCCCAGGATGGACTCAGGCTGGACGCCAGTGCAAAAGAATCCTCCTGCCTCAGCTTCCTGAGTGCACGCATTACAGGTGTGTGCGCCACGCCTGGGTCCGTGCAGGCCTAACTATTGCTCTTCTCTTTTGGATTCGCTCGCAGCCACCCTCCCCATCCCACCATCGTCCGGGCCCCCGCACATACCAGGCTCACCATATCCTTGCAGAACTAGCGAATGAACAGCCGGGTGGCGACAGACAGTCTGAACTGTTAAAAAATTTTTATTAAAATGTCCAAGAAGTACGTTAATATCCACAGTGTCAGATACTACAGACCCATGGAACACTGCAGCTCACAGCATGCCCAGCAGCCCCTGAAGCTGATCACGCGCACACCACACACACGCAGACACGCACACTCCTTGGGGAAGACCAGAGAAACAGGCCGGGCCATGCGAGCTGGGTGGGCACACGGCGGCCGGGCAGAGGCGCAGGGTGGGAGCACCAATCATGACACCCCTCCCCACCCCCAGCTCTCCTAGAGACAGCTCTTCTGGGACTGGGCATTATTCTTGTCACTACCTTTTTAAAACCAGGAACGAGGACAAACCTAGGTCGCTGGCTTTCTCCACAGTAACGTGGGGTGGACAGAGAGACCGGGCCGACATCTGTGGCATGGAAGACCGGAGGCTGCTGTCAAATGTGAGGAGCCAGTCGCCCTTCCCAAGCATTTCCTGAATCTGCTGCATGCGTGGATAGCAACTTTTCTTTCCTTTTTTTCCTTTTCTGTTTTCCTTTCTCTCTCTTTCTGGTCTGTGTAGCCCAGGCTGACCTTGCACTCACAGCCATCCTCCTGCCTCAACCTCCCCATGCTGGGAAGGCCGATGTGTACCACCACGCCTAGATCCAGTTAATACATTTTTATTTTTAACCCTAGGTGGCCACGTATCGCCCATCTCTCTTTCCTGTCGAATCATTTTCCACTGTGATTTTAAGCACAAACCCACAGCTTTCCCCAGGCCGGAGGAGCTGAAGGTAGGAAAGAGACTTGGAAGAGGAGCCGTGGGTCTCTGGTACATCCCGGCTTCTGGCCTGGGGTGGGTTTTTGCAGGTTGCAAATTTGGGGAAGGAAGGCAAGGTTCTTTCTCACTTAAAAAAAAAAAAAATGTTAAACTATGAGAGGAAAAAAGGTAAGTGTGAGTGTGCGTGTTTTGGTTTTAATACCATGCGTCTCTCTACCATGTGACCATGGGGAGGTGTCACTACTTGAGATTTAGGCGTTTCCAGTCCACCGGGCAAAGGCTGGAGACAAGGATGGGGGAGGGGCTGGGACCCAGGGCAGGGACAGCCAATGTCTGCTTGAGGGACTGGTACATACGGGCACTGGGTTAAAAAATCTTGGTACCTCCTTGGTGCTGGAAGGAGGCTCTTTGTCTCCCTGAGAGATGGAAGGGGAGGAGCTCAGGCTCAGCTAACCCTAAATATCCTCCTCTGCGTGTGTGCGTGAGAAAGATCTGTTACGCAGGTCCGTCGCATCTCAGCGCTGCCTAGGCCTGGTAGGGGAGCACGCTCCCTCCGCGCCCACACGCAACTGCCCACCCCTCCCCAGCTCTGAGCGCAGGGACGGTGGCCATTCTAAAAACATTCGTAAAATTCAGTGCATCTGAGTGCCGCTCCTGGGGCCCCTCTTGCCTCAGCCTCTGAGGTGCCTATCCACCAGGACCAGAGACCAACTGGGGCTGAGTCCAAGGCGAAGAAAGAGCAGTAGTCAAGTTCAGGCCCTGTGCTTCTGTTTTGCCTTCGACTCCCGGAGCCAGTGGCCTCGAGCACTGGCTTCATCTAGGACAGCCTGGATCCCTGGTGTGGAAAGCGATTCCTTAGCACAAATCCAAACATACAGCCGAATGCCCTCGTCAAAGTCTTATTTCAACAAATGCCCACCAGCCTGGCCAACAGAAGATCAAACCCACGCAAAGAATGATCTTCAGGAGCGAGCGGCGCTGAGCAGCGCCCCGAGTTCCACCCTGATGGGGGAACGTGCTTTTCAGACACATGGCAACACCTGCCAAGAGGACCCCGAGGATAAGGGAGGACGGGTAGCTTTGTACAAGGGGTTACGTGAGGGGTGTGGCTGGGGCTCAGGGGCTCCCAGGCCCTCCTGTTCTCCAGGCTCTGTCTCGCAGGCTCGGAAGGGCTGTGCTTTCTTTCGCCTGCTCCTCAGCAGAAATCCCCTTGGTCCTTCTCCCAGTCCTCCGCGGGGTGTTTCTTGTGTTTTCTGCGCTCCTTGTGCGATTTGTGGTGATGATGCTGATGCTGGTGATGCCGCCGATGTCTCCGCATCCGGTGGGACCGTCGGGCTGCAAGCAAAGAGGACAGGCGGGGGGGCAGACATCGGTGAGGGCGGCGGCAGGTAAACCCAGACGCACGCGCAGGGCTGTGTGCCCAGGCAGAGCTGTAGCCAGGTCCAGGCAGGCAGTGGCTGGGAACCAGCCGTGAGAGGCCTCGGGGCGCAGCCACTCACATTTGGTGCAGACAATCTGGGGTCGGTCCCACCTGCCGTTGCTCCGGCACCGAATGGTGGCCACGTGATGCTGAGCAAAGCCTTCATCACACTGGTAGCGTACAGTGGCGTGGACGTTGTACTTGGACTTGCGGGCACCAACAAGCATGGCGTTCGTCACGGCCGGAGGAGGGCCACACAGCACTGGGCACCAAGGATGCTCCGGTTAGGGAAGCAGCGAGCACGCAGGCAAAACCAGCTCTAGTCGCCTGGGTCAGCTGGGTCCTCCCTCCCTCTGCCCAGCTCCAATCTCTCAGGGCTGAAAGCACCTGTGTCTTTCCCTTCCACCCACCCAGAGCTTCACAGGGGCAGGACACCCCTGCCCACACCCACTTCTAATTCCCATGTCAAACACAGGACGTGATGGGAAATGGGGAAAGCAAGAACAAATCAAAGCACAAGAGTGAGATGGACAGGTGAAGGCATACAAATGGGGGTCCTTTGTATGTAAAAAGTCGCTAAGAATCAACAAGACCCCCAAGCCAACAGAAAATTGGGCAAAGGGGATGAAATTCAAAGTCTGTCTAAATGCAGACAGTTGGTTATTCTCAGCCTTAAAGCTGGGAGGGGGACCAGGGCTGTGGCTCCACGTGAGTGCCTGCCCAGCCTCAGCACTGCAGAACCCGAACTCAATGCAGCAGGGAAGCATGTAGGGCTACGATCAAAGGAAGCTGGGAGTGCGTGTGTGGTACCTGTGCCCTTCTTGCACACATAGGGGAGGTTGTAGTTGCAGGGGACATCGTTCCAACGCCCACTCTCATGCGCCACCATCACCACGCAGTCCTCCCCTCCCGCGAAGAAGTTGTCAGGCTGCTTCTCCCGCCAGTTCTCGTATTGCTGCAGGAACAGGGGCACTGAGCCCAGCCAGGCTCCCCCCAGACTCACAGATTCGAGGGCCCCCACGTGGGTGGGGCCCCTGCCTCTGCTGAGGGTGCCGGGACGCTGCCACCCTCCTTCCGCCAGGAGGCCGTGCAGCCTCTGCCCTGCTTCTCCGGCTTTCTACCTCGCAGAAAAGAAACTGGTTCCAGGCAAAGCGAACAGCACGAGCAAAAGCAGGCCAGAGGCGGGGGCAGGAGGACCGCTGCGCACTCGAGGCCAGCCTGGGCTACGAAGTGAGTCAGGGCTGTGGCTGGGCAGGCTGCTGGAGCTGGGGATGTGGCTGGGGAATGGGCAGGGCAGCAGAGGGGAGGGGGGGGGTGCGTGCTCGTGTGTTTGCAGTGCTTGGATGGAACCGGGGCCTCACAGCGCCAGGCAAGCTCTCTCACCACCCAAGCCCCCCTTCATAAATTTTATGTATTTGGTAGAGGGTCTCACTACAGTTTGGACTCATGATCGTCCTCTTTTCAGCCTTCCCAGTGCTGGGATCACAGGCATAAGCCACCCCCAGTCTCAGTGGCCAGCTCAGCACACCTGGGGTGGGGCCGGTGTGGATGTGGTGCCAGGGATTGAACCCCAGTCCCTGTGCTTGCCTAAGCAGGCACTTAGTCCGCTGAGCTATCTAGCTGGCCCTCTGGGTCTTTTTTAAATTTAATTAATTATTTTTTAAAAAATCTTTTATTTATTTATTAGTGGGCCTCTCTATACAACTCCAACTTGTAGTGATCCTCCTGTCTCAGCCTTCCCAGTGCTGGGATTACAGGCGTGCATCACCACACCTGGTTTTGGTGGCCTGCTTGGCACTGGGCCCGCATGACATATGGTACCAGGGATCAAGCCCAGGTCCTTGCACTTGCCAGGTAAGTGCTTAGACCGCTGAGCTATCTCCTCAGCCCCAGACCTTTTTTATTTTGAGACAGAATCTCACTAAATTGCCCAGCCTGGGCTCAAACTTGCAATCCTCCTGCCTCAGCCTCCGGAGTGGCTGAGATTACAGGCGTGCACCACTATGTACAGCTTGGAATTTTTAAAATTGTGTATGCGGCATGAAAGTTACTATTTGAGCCATTTTTAAGTCCAGTTTATTGGCACTAATTACATTCAGTGTTGTGTAACCATCTCCACTACCGATTTCCAAAGCTGCTTTATCAGGACAAACCACAACTGGGTACCAATTAAGGAAAAGAACTCTCCATCTGCCCTGCTTCCAGTCCTTGGCAGCCACCGATCTCCTCTGTGCTTCCTTAAATTTGCCTCCCAGGATGTTCCATGTAAAGGGATCCATAGTGGCTTTTTAAAAAAAAATTTATTTATTTATGTGTGTGTGTGTGTGGCCAGCTCAGCCCACCAGGGGGCGAGGCTGGCGGGCATGTGGTGCTGGGGGATTGAACCGCAGTCCCTCTGCTTTGCTAAGCTTGTTCTAAGTAGGTCTTTAGACCACTGAGCCATCTCACCAGCCTCACTACATGGCTTTTTATGCCTGGCTTGTTGAAATGGTTTCTGTTAGTTACAGAACTCAAACTCAGGGGTGGTGCACTACTGAACTACTTCCTTAGCCCTCTTTGTTTTGAGGCAGGGTCTCATTAAACTCATTGAGCTCAGCTGAGCTCAAACTTATGGTCCTCCTGCCTCAGCCTCCCAGAGTGTCGGGATCACAGGAATACAACTCTGTGTTTATCCATGTTGTAGTCCCGTCTTCATGGCTGTGTAATATTCCACTGTGTAGGTAGACCATGTGTTGTTTATACTTTAGTGGACATTCAGGCCTCTCCCTCCTCTTGGGCTGACATGCACATGGTTGGGCATGTACCTATTTACACATCTACTTTTCAATTTTTCTTTTTCTTTTTTCTTTCTTTCTTTTTTTTTTT